ACAAATTTTCATTATTGCACATTCTTTGTAACAGTCAAGTATTTAATAACTCACAATTTTAAAGAGTTAAGATACTGTAAACAAAAATGTGTTAAATGTAAATAAAAGAATTTATTATTATGGCGAGAGTTAAATTTCGGAGTTTAAGAAAAAATGAACTTTGGAGTGTAGTGGTGAATCTATTTAAAACAGAATTTACGAGCGAAGCTCATACGCAAGCAACGCGCTTACAGATGGTTATAAATATAATGAACGGATATATTCTTGTGTGTGTCACGTGCGAGACATGTTCACCTGGCTCGTCTCGTCAATTCTCGTAGTCGAGAACTACAGTATGCGTGCAAATGTTTTTCGACTTAACTCTTTCACGCAATTCTCAGCCTCGTGTTCCAATACTCGCATAGACTATAATATATTAAGCACTAAAATTTACTAAAGACACGAGGAAGACATACACGTGTGGAAAATTTTATTCACATACGTGTACATAAATACTTATTTTATTTTTATATTAATAGTTGTAGTTATAGTTATAGTTATAACTTAAATGTATAATACTTTGTAGAGTGTATTAAATGTACCAGCTGTATGACAGAGTGATTTATTGGGTTAAGAACCTTTATAAAGTGCGCGGTCTACGTAATCATATACGAGAAATCTGCGAACTCTAACGGGAAAAAAATGTACCACGACCTATCTAACATCCGTTCTTTTTTCTTGTTATTTTTTTTCTTTCTTAACCATTAACACGTTACGTTTATCTTGAGCTTGAGGATTTAAAAATATGTGAAACTATGCAGGTGCTGGGGGATTTTGTTTTTTTATTTTTAAAGATCCTTATGTCCATGTACATGGGGAAATTCGTTTTCGCAGACAGTTTTGTAGAAATAAATTCAAATCCAGCACCTGTCGACCACCTGGCTTTTATTGTCAGTACACAACCGGTTTGTAATTAAATTTTTAAAACCATCGAAATCCAAGAATTTTTAATTTTATCACTAACATAATATTTATAATCATAATAATCATAAAAATAATAATAAAAATAACTAGCAACCTTGCAGTCACTATGTGACTGCCGAGACTTGTGAACTATAAATAAACAAAATTTTGCTTTATTAAATAATTACTTTTGTTAAATTGCATTGTACTTTTTTAACAATTGACATTTTTAAAGATATAAGCTCATCCCGATGTTACACTCATCAAGAGGTTTCATTTGAGTACCCACATGGATTTTTTATATATTTTTCATATATACATATATATAAGTATATAAATATATGAAAAATTGATGTAGGTACTCAAATGAAAGGTCTCGATGAGTGTAACTCCAGGATGAGCTTATATCGTTAGAAAATATCCTTGGTTGACAAAATAGCAATGTCAGTTCTTAATTATTGACATTTTTTAAGATATAAGCTCATCCTGAAGTTACACTCATCAGGAGCTTTTATTTGAGTACCCACATGCATTTTTGATATATTTTTCATGTATACATATATATAAAATATATAAACATATGAAAAATTGATGTGGGTACTCAAATGAAAGGTCTTGATGAGTGTAACATCAGGATGAGCTTATATCTTAAAAAATGTCAATAGTTCACAAGATATTTGTTAAATTGCACTGTAATTTCTTAACTATTGGCATTTTTAAAGATATAAGCTCATCCCGATGTTACACTCATCAAGAGCTTTCATTTGAGTACCCACATGCATTTTCATATATTTTTCATATATACATATATATATAAAATATATAAATATATGAAAAATTGATGTGGATACTCAAATGAAAGGTCTTGATGAGTCTAACATCGGAATGAGCTTATATCTTTAAAAATGTTAATAGTTCGTGAGATACAAGGTCATTTCTTAATTATGTATCTAGAGATACAGCATTTTCGGATGCAGCTTAAATAATTATCATCATAAATTGACTATTGGTGAGAATGATATAAAACCATTAAAAGGCAAAAATTCAAATAAAAAAAAAAAAATAAAAATAATAATAATAATAATAATAATAATAATAATAATAATAATAAACACATAAATATTGTTATTATTAATTATATTTTTATAATTGTCATTATCGTTTCTGTTAATTCTGTTATTTCTAAAATAGTAACGTTGATAAAGTACATACGATGTTTAAAGTCTAAGTTAAAGATTACGAAAGTGTTACACTTATCATTAAAAAAAAAAAAATAAATAAACAGATAAGCTGTAATTTAAATACATCATAATTTTCAATGAATAGCATAAAAGAAAAAAAAAAACACGGAAAAAATTAGATTATCATATTTACTTTTTTTTATTTTATTTTATCATAAAAAAAAAATAAAATGATTATCGTAACTAAATTCAATACTCGATTCAAAGAACAGCGTTTGAATTTAAAATAAAAAACTATTAGAATACCAAAAAATCGTATAATGGAAGAATAAAATAACTAAATATAGAAAACACATGGATGAATAAAATTAGTTGCGTATTACATTTACTATCCGGTCCAGTTACATTCTTGTCGACGTGATATGGATGATAAAGCTGAGTAGAAGACTTGCAAAATCGTTACAGTTGCGCAATTCATGAATAATACACAAGAATGCTAAACCCAACTATTTTATATTTAACTATCAAATACATATATACTGAAGTACATATATACATACTTGTAGTGTATAAATAGTAACAAGTAGTAACAGCTAGCATTCTTCTCTACTTCCTTAAAATGTTTTTGTCTTAAACAATAGAGTACTCCACAGATATACTGAACTTCAATTATATTATTATAAATTACAACTATTATGATAATAAAAATAACAATAACAATAATGACCACAATTATTACCCTTGTTATTATTTTTATAAATTTTTTTCTTAAGAATGTAATGTAATGTACATTAAGATGATGATGGCGTATCAATGCGGTGGTTTTATTTTGTCTATCACAAGTAATAATCAAACGGAAGCACTGAGCAAGTCTCTACACGCAGCTGGCGCCCGGAAACACACTCATTCACCCAATATATATATATATATATATATATATATATATATATATATATATATATATATATATATAAGAGTTGATGATGTGCACGCACTTACTCACGCAACCTTAACAAAACAACTACCTACAACGACATATTACATCGGTGCTTCTTTATTATTTTTTTACTTATGTTCTTACTCTGTTCTTCAACTTATTCTTTCATTCTATATTCATTTATATATATATATATACATACACGTATAAAAATATGTTGAGATGTATTGGTCTGATTCGCATGCGAACCGCGAAGAAAGTGTTAAAAGAGTTGGCAGTCACGCGACGATACTTGTGTATGTATCGATACTGATGGAACAAAGAAAGTCCGAAGGCCTTAGCCATCATGAGTTGTTTAAAATATATTGTATAATATAATACTCTAACAAGTAAGTACACAGACTATACTCCGTAGTTAAAGTTCTGCAGCTGGTTAAATATTCTAAATAAAAATAAAAAACAAAGCCTATTCGGCCACAGCCGAGATAGAAGGTAGATTTCTTTTAAAAAAAACAGTATAATCAACTGGGAAAGAAACTATTTTTATGTTTTTTGTCCGAGAAATATGGGCACCGAATTTCATTAGAATCTGTTGAGAATTCTTGATAAAATAATATACATAAGTAGGTTATGTTACACATTACCTGAAAATGGTTCAATTGAACTCAACTTTGATAAAATAACTAATAATGGTCAAAAAGTTAACGTTATATCGCGTTACTGATGCCATAAGGGCGTATTTCGAAAAAAATACCCTTGAAAAGCTATAAGGGCGTATAAAAAATTTTTTTTCCGGGAATCAACGTAGTTATGCCTGAAACGGGCAGAAATGCAAAAAAAAATTTTGGTACGCCCTTATGGCACCCAGGGTACCTACCGGGAACCATAAGGGCGTATCAAAAAATTTTTTTTTCGGGAATCAACGTATTTTTACTTGAAACGCGTAGAAATGACGAAAACAAATTTTTTTCAAATTTGAAATTTTTTGGTACGCCCTTATGGTCCCCAGTTGGTATCCCGGCATTACTGCCCATTTTAGGCATAACTACGTCGATTCCCGAAAAAAATTTTTTGGTACGCCCTTATGGCATTTGTAACGCGATATACATCAAATTAGATGTAATTTTGTGAGCTTTCACATAAATTTATCAAAAATCAACTATCTTTTTGCTATTAAAAGTTATACATCAATGAAGTCACCGAAAACGTAATTTTTACTATTTTGATCATTTTGAAGAGCTACTATTTCTGAACTAATCAAAGGTTTTCTCATATTTTAAGATACATGCAAGCTAATTATCTAAGGAATTTGTATACTAAATCTCATTAGGATCTGTTGAGAATTCTCGACAGAATAACATTCGTAAGTCAGTTGTATTACACATTGCCTGAAAATGGTTCAATAGAACTTTTAACTTTGATAAAATAACTAAAAATGGTCAAAATATCAATGTGATATATATCAAATTAAAGGTAATTTCATAAGCTTTCACATGAGTTTATCAAAAAATAGCCATCTCTTTTCAATCGAATATTATACATCAATAAAATCACCGAAAACGGGATTTTTACTATTTCGACAATTCTGAAGAGCTACCATATCTAAACTTATTGACGGATCTCGCTCATCTTCTAACTTATTCAAGGTTATTATCCAAAGAATATGTGTACTGAGTTTCATCTAAATCCGTTGAGAATTGTAGACGCTATCGTGTTCGCAAGCCGCGTTATATATACATAAATATATAAACTTTTGAACCAATACTAATTTTAAGCCTTATTCGACTAAATAAGAGATAAAATGACAAAATTCCGTGTGAATTCTGACCCAAGGGTCAATGCAATAGATAGATTTCTCCAAAATCTACCTAAAAAATAACAAGACAAAAAAAATGAGTAAAGACTTACCTAATGATTCTGTCATGTCTCTCCCGCTCTACCAGCTCCTCAGAAGGCATAGGTTGACCTGGAGCAAGAAGCGAGTGGGGCAGAGGGGGATATCTTGGTGGTCGCCAGAGCATCTCCGCAGAGGGATGATGATGATGATGACTAGCAGGCGCAGCTGGAGTTTGGTAACCAACCGGTGGAGCACTAACTGGGATGGTAGAACCCGAGGATTGTGGGGTATGTGCCATCATAAGTGAGGTATGCTGGACACTGTATACGTGCCTAATGCAAGCTGGTGTTGTCGAAACACCTGAGCCTGATGACGGTGGAACTGTAGTAGTTACCGATGTTGTCGCTGGAACTGGAATAGTCGTAGTTGCTGTGCCAGTAGTTTCTTCAGCGCTCAAAGCCGAGCTACGGCTTCCACTACGTTCATCCCCGGAACCGGCACTCCTGAGCGAACTTATCCCGCTATCTGAACCGCTGTCGCCATAGGTCGTAGCGCCTCGGACGCCACTGGCGACACCTGATACACCAGGGAACCCTCCAACGGCAGCACCGTTCCCACCGGTCTCCATCTCCATGATACTACCGGCATCATCGCCGTGCCGGGTTGAAGACAATTGATGATGATGCTGGACCAAATTATGATTAGACTTATCACCAATATCTAAGACACCTTGGTGTTGATAATGAAGCTGCTGCTGATGGTGAAGATGATGATGATTCGGATACGGTGAGCGGTGACTGTGAGGACTCACCGAGTCCAGCCGATGGATCACCGGACTGGCAGTGTACTTTGGATGCAAATGCTGATACTGTTGAAGATGTTGGTGTTCTTGGTGATGATGAAGCTGCTGCTGCTGCTGCTGCTGGTGAAGATGATTATGATTATTATTGTGATGCGGATGCACCAATCCTCCAGAAGAGGACACGGGAGGCTTGTTTATCCTTTCGGCAAGAATAACTGGACTCTCGTTGTGCCGGCTACGCTCCTGCTCGTCGTGGAGCAGGGTCAGCCTCCCCGGCCCAGCGTTCAATGGACTCAGTCTCTCCAGCACGCTGCCGTCCTTATTCGTACACTCGACCAGTTCACTGGCTTGCTTATGACTAGGATTGCTTGAATTTTCAATATCACTGTTAAGCTTATCAACAGTTTCTTCTTTATTACTCGTTACAGCTTCTATTGTTTTATTGGAATCTCTATTGCTAATCTCTATTTTACTATCATCACCCCCAGGATCTAGAGTATCAGGAATTCTAGGTGGCGGTTCGGGCTCTCTATCCCGCTCACGTGATTCACTTTCGTCTTCTTCAGGTTTAACATCAGCCAAACTAGTCTTTGCAATAACGTTACTGTCAGGCTGGTGGACTTTTTTCTCAAGATCCTGTTGTTTCTCCTGGTCTTGGTTAAGGTTTAGTTTAAACTCTTTTTTCTCCTCTAGCTCGGTATCTTGGCGTGCGGATCGTAACCGAGTTTTAAGCTTTGAATCAGATTCTTCTCCGCTCTCCTCGTTCTCAGGGTCTTCTTCTCCTCCCTCAACAGGGCAATCTTCTTCTTCAGTTTCAGCCTCGTCCTCCGATCTCAAATGATCTTGATCTGGGGCTGGTTCTTTGTCTTCTGTTGCATTCAAACGATCCCGGTCATTTCGACGTGATTCATCGGTTGGACGACCACGTCTACCGCGCACTGCTCGACGATTTGTCTCTGGGTTTTTTAATCCTCCGCTACTGGCGCTCCCACCAGTTACAGTTCCACCGCGTTTACGAAGTTTTGTTAAACTATTGGTCTCCTCAAGTACCGAAGATCGGGGACCACGATTACTAGGTTTAACAGTGCTTATCACTGGGCCTTTGTTTTCGCGATCCTCTTGACGTGATTCGGTTTTTTCACGTACAGATCCTTCGTTCACTTTCTGCGCTCCTTTTTTTTTGGCAATTCCTTTATCTAGAACACAAATAAATAAATCGATGGTTAATTAATTGTACTCTTTAGTTAATCAATCGATGTGTTGATCAATTTTTTATTTCAATCACTGCAAAAGATCCGATAGCTGTCACCTGTCTACAAAAAAAAGAAAAAAAACTATATAGCGGGGAAGAAAAAGATAAATGGTTTAGTCGTCCATTTGAGAGTCTTGAAAATCGATCCAAATGCATGACCCACACGAAGAGCGTAAAAGGAGAGCCAGGAAAATACAGATGCGGATGTGTTATGTGCTGTGAGCACAGTCTATACCGAAAGGGAGAGAAGGAGAGAAATAAAGAGGAATCCGGGGGATTTATTGCTAGGGATTTACTGTTATTACCCAGTGGGAGCCATTGCTGATTCTCGTTCATTTCCAGTCTATTCTCTCTTTGTTCCTCATGATACAATGCTACATTCCCTTCTCAAAAGAAGAATATATAAAAAAAAAAAAAATTCATCTAAAACCTTAAAACCTCAAACTATCTCTTCACTTCTTCAACTAAACCGTTCTAACCTTTTATATTTACAAATAAAATGGAATAAGGAAATATAAATGTTTGCTAGAATAATATTTGATGAAATTTTTCCAATACGATTATTTTCTTTAGAAGGATCTTTTAAACATTTATTCGGGCCGACTATTTAAATCTAGATGTATACAGAGTATATATTTATATATTAGCCTTGTTTTACGGACAGGAGTTCAAAATCTGGTCCTAATGCTACAATACGCAGAGTAAAAAATATTGTGTTAAATAACGTCAACATAAAATTAGTGTTAAAATTCAACACACTTTTGTGTTAAAATGACACAAGCTTTGTGTTGAAACGACAAAAATTTAACACTAATTTTGTGTTGACGGTATTTAACACAGAAATTGTGTTGATTTTACACAATATTTTTTACTGTGCGGAAGAATCTTGAATTTGCACGGAAAAAAAGGTTTACTTGAGCCAAGAAAATATTTATCTTTATAATTATTTTTTTGACAAGAAATTTCACTTATTCCGAGAAAATTAACTCTTTTGCTTTAAGAAATAAGTATTTTGATACAAGAAAATTTAAGTCAAGAAAATCTTGTTGTTTTGAAAAAATTCAGCCTCTTGCTCCAGAAAATTTAGTTCTTGATAGAAGTAAATTATCTTGTCTTGAGAAAATTTTTCTCTTGCTCCAAAAAATTAAATATAAAGATAGAAGTAAATTTTTATTGATTAACATGTCAAATGGGAAGATCAAATAATATTTCATCATTTTTTTTCATTCAATATGTATAATTGCACGCTAAAATAATATAAAATGGGTATCAAATATTCAAGAGAAAAATTTTCTCAAGGTGAAAAAATTTTTTTCTCAGCTGAAATAGGTGGCGCTGCTTCCCTAAAGTATCTAAAAATCTTGATCAAATATAAAAATTTATTGTATCAACTATTTATAAGAATTTGAATTAAGAAAAAATTACTTCCACCAAGAATAGAATTTCAAGAAAATTTTTTACTTCGGCCAACACAACTTCCGTCTTCCTTCAGACACCCGAAAATTTTCTTGAGCCAAGAATTTTGTTCTCCGGTCAAGTTCTCCAGAAATTTTTCTTTCTGTGTAATGCTACAATACGGAAGAATAATATAAAACTAGTGGAAGACTAGACACTTTGATCTTCGTCTATGTACTCTATTTACCAACACATCCAGAGTATCTATTTGGCAATGACCTGGCCGACGTTCACTCGTTATACTTTGTGCTATTTTCTCTCGGTAAGGAATTGAGTTGAGTTTTAAAATAAGGGCAAGAAACTCTTCTATCGCACTCGATTTTCTTGCAGATGGAATAAGATCAAGATATACGTCTACATATATTTATATTTGTATTTGCATTTTATTGTGTAAAATGTGGATGTAGTTGCACTAACCCTTTTGTTAAACTCGGCATAAACTCAACGTTACCGCAACTATACTCGACCAAGTTTTAGTTTTAGTTAGGGAGTCAGAAGTTCTCTTGCAAAAAGTCACCCTACGGCCTTTAGATTTAGATTCACGGAGTAGACTCACGTCCTTTCATTCTATTCTAGTCTCTGTATAATATAATATGTACTGCCGAGCTGTATATGGAGACTATAAAGCTACGAGTGCCACGAGGGCTTCATAACCATTACAATGTTTGATCGTTAGATCTTTACGCTCTATTTCAAGCTATAAAATACAGGGGTACTTTCTTTGTAGCCCAATCGGGTTCTTTTTAATTTAAACCCATTTTTCATTGTTCTATGGTGTATTGAGTTGACACTTTTGAATTTTAAATTTTTCTAACAAGCTCATTAATCACGGCTGAACAAAGTGGAAGATTTCTTGAACAGATTAAAGAGAAAATTTCTTGACTAGTCTATAACTCCCATTAAATTTGTTGGTAGAAGTATAGAGGCTCAATTAAATATAATTGGTCTAGAGAACACGGCTTAAATAATTTAATTACTTTCAAAATAAATTTTTTTATAATCAATAATATTTTTTTTTAAGTAATTATTAATCAAAAAAGCAATTGAAGTTATAAAAATTGCTTGATTTTTTTGAGTCAAAGTACGCATTTAACGCATAGCGTTTTGAGGTGTGCAATTTTTAAAAGCTTCTATTTTTATCAATTGTGAAGTTGATTATTGAACTAAACTACAATTATTTTTATAAATTACATATTTATTTTGATTTAATAATTTTTCTAAACTATTTTTTTGTTTTATTTGAAAAATAAATTGATAAGAAAAAAATTGCATCCAAAAATTTGTATAATTTTTAGAAATTTTAGTAATTTACTTTTGTTTCAAAATTAAAAAAATTCAACCTTGTTAACATTTTTTAAAGAAACTTTTTCAGGATTTTTTAATAGATATAATTTTTGGAGAAAAAAAAATAGTTTTACTTATTTGCTATTTTTTTTTTAACTATTTTTTTTTTTTTTTTTTTAATTAAGTGACAAGAAAAAAAAAATTTCATCCATAAATTTTTATAAATTTAAAAAAATTTTAATCATTTAAACATTCTTTTAAAAAAAATTTTTTCAGTATTTTTTGATGAATATAATTTTTGGAGAAAAAAAATAATTTTACTTATTTTCCTCACAAATATTTTAACTAATAAGTATTGCAATAATTTTCACCTATTCTCAATTAAAATTAAATGTATTTTATTATAATTCATAACTATGAATTTTAACCAAATAAAGTTTCCAGGAACAACTATTTAAAATAAAAGTACTAAAATACAAAAGAGATACCTAATAAAAATTTATAATTCATATGAATTTTATTGGAATTGTATTTTTAACCAGGATCAATAATCGACGAACCCAATTTTTCTCTTCCCACATGTCATGCAAATGAGCAAACTCCAGTGAAATATTTATACTAGCAGTATTCATATGGATTTTTTCTATTTATTTTTTATAATTGATATTTAAAAACAAAACAAACGAATAATTTAATAGAAATGAGCATTGAGGAACTTTAGACACCTAAAAATAATAAAATTTCTACACTCAGTCCATCGGAATTTAAATTTTATATGGACCATTAATCAGCTCATTAACGAACCAAATAAGAAACGTTGAGAGTGAATAACTCGAGTTTATTTATAAAATAAATTGAGATAAAACTTATTTTTAATAACAACAGTTATTTACATAATATATAGTGGATTACAATAATTTAATTAATGAGTTTTATGATAAAGATAACTCGAAAGGAGACATAACAAATATTTTATTTAATAGTTTTAACAAAGTATATAAATATATCCACAATATAAATGTTTGAATTACTTTCAGGAAATGAATGAGATTTGTTCGCAAAATACAACAATCTTTGCCAACTTTGTAATTTTATCTCTATTGGAATATCGCGACTTATTTCTTTATATAATCGCGAATTTTCATTTTTATTGACCTTTTTTTAGTATTTTCTCCTTCTACTTGTAACTTGTTCTTTAACTTAATCTCAAATCCCGTTTATTCTCGAGTGAATCTATTTTCGTGAGGTAATTTTCTGCGTGTTCGCGTATTGATAAACCCCAAGAGAGTAGATGAAGTCGAGGCAATTGGCAGCATCCCAAAGACCTCGGGAATTTTACTCTCTCAGTTGTTACTCTTTCGTTTGCCAAAAATTATCAGAAAAGTCTCGGTAAATAAATAGAATAATCTGAAAACTATTTCACAAATATTTTGACGTAAAAATAAAAATATAAGTAATTAATTTTTTAACTTAATACTCCTGAGGCAGGTTAAGATTTTTAAAGCGAAAGTAAAAATTTAAAAATCGTTAAACAATAAAACATATAATGAGCTTAACAGACCTTTAAAGCTTTAATTTACAATCTAGACTGTCATAAAAACACAATAGTAACACGCAGCTGTGCCACGAGGGCTCCAGACATCGACCACCATCGGCGTATTAACTACACAACACAACTTTACCCCCTATACCGTACATATGTAGTGTTTTTTATTTTTAAAAACTCTTGTTTAAAAAACCCAACTTTTAATTATAAAATTTTCGATTGGTAACAATCAATTTTTGTTGTCAAACCGTTTTCAAAAATTAACAATATACTGAAAAATAATTGACTTGATTAGATTTTTTTTTTTTTTTGAAAACTAATCTTGATTAAAAATAAAAAATAAATTTTTTTTTTAAATAAAATTTTAACTTTAACTAGAGAAATAAATTTTCGAATGAACTATGAGCTTTTAAAATTTTTGCGTTAGTATAAGTTTTGATTTATTAATTATTAAAAATTTTATTTCTAAAGGGAAAAAAAAATTTACTTGAACCAAGAAAAAATTCTTGGTTTAAGAATTTTTCTACTCAAATCAAGAAGACAAAATCCTTCAAACTTATTTACTTGATTCAAGTAAATTTTTGTTTCGGTGTAAATGGAAAAGACTAAACGTATATCTATATTATTAAAAGAATAAGAAAAAATTAGTGTCCAGGATAATTATATGATAAAATGGGTTCTTTTAGTGAAATTTAGTATCATTGCAAAGGTCTTGATTTTAATTTGTGCCTTTTCAAAATTTCATATCATTCTCAACGATAGTCAATTTATTATAATAAGTATTTAGGCTGCATTCGAAAATGCTCAATCTCTAGATACATAATTAAGAAATGACCTTGTATCTTAAGAACTATTGACATTTTTTAAGATATAAGCTCATTCCGATGTTACACTCATCGAGACCTTTCATTTGAGTACCCACATCCATTTTTCATATATTTTATATATATTATATATATATATATATATATGAAAAAAAAATATATGAAAAATTGATGTGGGTACTGATGTTACACTCATCGAGACCTTTCATTTGAGTACCCACATCCAT